TTTGTTTAGCTTTAAGTTGTTGTTTTACTCTTTGTTCATAAGTTCTTTCATTTGTTTAGCTTTAAGTTGCTGTATTACTCTTTGTTCATTAGTTTAAGTTTGACTGCGCCACTTTCTTGTGTGCTGCCACTGATGTAAAAGTGTAATGTCAATAAATATTATTATTTTATCTGGCACTCTTTATTCAAAAATTTAAATACAAGACCACACATGGGACCAACGTCAGCATGATTCACATGCCTTTTACGCACAAAGCACCAGATATCCCACCAGGTATGTACAATGAAAAAGATGAAAACAAATTGGTTCCTACCTATTAGGCATTTATCTCATTGACATGTAGCGCAAGAAGATGAAATTTTAATGGAGGTCACACTGACATATGTGCTGATTATTATGTAAATATACTGTATGCAGACAACAGAATCATATTCAATATATCAGCCTTGGTCACTTTGTGAGGCGTATAAAACAGATGCTTCATTGCTCTGGCCTCCAAATAGAATATCCATAGTTTCTGTATGATTCATGTGATGGTTTGATGATACCAGTATAAAGTAGGCCTATTGTCAGAATGCTACAAACAGGTAGGCATGTAATTAAATGATGATGTTTGTAATTGTACAATATGTGTATTATACATTATTCATCCATTGTTTTTTAATTTTTTTTTATATATTTTTTTTTTATTCCTTTTGATAATCAGAAAATACATTACAATAGAAGAAAAGCAAAATACTGTATGTACAGCACTGATTGGAACAAAAATAACAAGGCAATAAATTAGAAAACCCAAAAAAGTGCCAAGTCACCGTCACCCAAAAGGATGTGCTATTCCATGCAAAAAATGGATTAATGAAAATTAATTTACAAAGTATAACGTTTTATTATAATAAATTATTATTGATTAGAATTATTTTTAATAACTTTAATAAATGACAGGAGATTTCAAATTTGGCATCAATAGTTGCCTGTTTAAATTTATCTTTTTAGACATTGCCATTGAGTACCTCGGTCATTTTCACGACTCTGTATTTGCTATGAGTGTAATTGTATGTTCTGTCATTTATTGTTCAGTAGTAGTGTTTTTTTCTTTTAATTCCTTCATGAGGTGGTGTCCCTATTAAATTTAACCATTATTCAGTATGACCTCTTATTTTATTAGACTTGTATTAATTCTCCATTTGACTTTTATTATTACTGTACCAATTTGGTCAAGTTCATTTCTTTGATGCATGGTTTATTTTTCCATGCACTTACTATGAGCTGTAGAACTAACAATGAAAATAAATAAGTTTTTGACCTCTATTTTATTTTAAACAAACACTCAAAAATGACATTGACCAATTGTTCTAATGCACTGTTGCCAGACAGAATATAACAGGAATTTCTATTGAATTGTTTGTAGGGTTGTTGAGATTAAGCTGGTTTATTCATCTTGTTTAGAAATATAGAGGTCAATGGTATAACTGACCATTCACACTCTCACCACTGAACAGAACACAATTTGATTTGAGACAAACATACAGTGTAAATTGTTTGGTCGTCCTAAGTATCATGGATAGGCCTATGTCAGGTATTAATTTTTTAATTAATTTTTTTGTTTTATTCTAGTTGGTGGCCACTTAGATTTTGTAATTAACATTGGAAAAAAGAAATGTTTGTTACTAAAATGTCTGTCTCATTGGTTAGATCGATACAGAAGCCATAACCGGACTCGACTTCACATCGCTGCTGCTACTGGTCAACTTCTCGTCCTTCATAGTCTGATTCGGGAAGGTCAAAGTGTCAACAGAAGAACATCTGAGGGCATAACAGCCTTACACGAAGCATGTGGGACCAACCATGTGTACTGTGCTCGCAATTTAATCAAAGCAAATGCAGATGTAAGTACTAGAATGTTGCATAGCATATATAGCTCTGTACAGGCTATCAAATTTTTTTTTTCCAAAAAACTGTTGTATACCCATATGTAGTCATGATGTGCCTATATATGGTCATGATGTGATGTCATCATGACCATATTTAGGCATGTCTCATGTATTGATAGTCTGGACTTTGCATGCTTGATTGACACCAGCACGCACCGTAAGCAACTCAAAACCAATGTGTCAGGCTTTAGCTGTTCCACAATTCTTTCATTCTACAGTACCAACAAAGCGAAAAATCATTTGCTGGAGGGCTTGAGTTAGGCGTGTTGATTGGCCGAGCAGTTTAGTCAGGGGCACCCTCACCTTCAGCTCCAATATCGGCGCTGGTTCGAATGGTTCACTTGCCTATGGTTCCGGTGGTGGAACAAGTCTTCTCAGATAAGGACTTTAAACCGAAGGCCCAGTGTACGCATTTGACTCATGTGAACCCAGTACATCCTTCGAGAAGAGTAGAGGGTTACCCCGGTGTACTGGTCCATTAAGTCTCCTGTTGTTATATGGATATGCCACGTAGGACGTGATTAATGTTCGCTTATTAGCATATCCTTGGCACTCGTGCCTAAAAAAAAATACCAGTTACAATAGTGTACCATCTTTCGGATGAGGCATGTAAGCCGTTGGTCCTGTGTGCATTTATGGCCAATGTGCGCGTTAAAGAATGCAGTAAACTCTTCGGAAAAGAGTAGGGGATTGTCTCAGTGTACTGCCCAATCACCACCAGAAGGAGCCCACTGGAAATGAGTCTTCTTCTAGACTTTCGTAAGCTATTCTTGGTGTTTACACCGATTAAATCCAATTCAATCCAATCACTAAATTTTAATGGCTAAATTATCTTGTATTACTATAAGGTAATTGCACTGTGAAATATTTTATTGTGAGGCTTGCAACTCGCATTTTTCAACTCGCAACTTGCATTTTCCAGTTGCAGCTCGCATATTCTAGCTTGCAACTCACACTGAAGTAGCACCAACAGTACATCAGCAAATGCTCAGTGCAAGCATGTGCACCTTCCCCACCCTGCCCACCTCTTAATAATAGAACAATGAAATGTTAATGAAACTGATATTGTGGTTTGACAATTCCAACCCAAGACCATGTGATTACAACCACTGCATGTCCTCTTGTGTGTGCATCATGATGATTTTGCATGATAATTATCCTCTGGTCTTCTTGATGTATAAAACTTGATAGTTTTTTTTACTTTAGACCAGACTTTTTTATACCTTGTTTTAGCGAACCTGCTGCCCACCAATAATGATGGTTTAGAATTTTAAAAAATAAATTATTTTTGGCCAATTAACATTGCTGCCAACACGAAAAATTGGTAATTTCAGAAAAAAGTAAAAGTTTTACTCTTTTTTTATTACACCCGCCTCTGCCGTGAAATCTCCAAAAATAAGATACATATATTTCTTCCTAATTATATAAATTTAAAACATTTAACCATCCCATCACTACACTGTTTACATTCACTAATAAAATTATATTTTTATTTTCTCCTCTGTCTGGGTGTTTTTTGCAAAAGTATTTGCTAGAAAAATAAGAAAAAAAAAAATTATTTTTGCCAAAACAAGGTATGAAAAAAGTCTCACCTTGGGAGTTATATCAAAGATAATAAATAGTAGAAGATAGAGCAGCTTCTCAATATAGTGGAACATCCATTCAAAATGCATTGTGGGTACACGGAGAGCAATTTTATCCCGTCCGCGCGGCGGCACTGTATATCAATAATAAAGGCACCGCTCTGGTTTGTTTGTTTTATGTAGTTTCTCCACTTAGTCAAATGTTCAAATTTTACCCCGCATGCAGGAGGGCGGATGTTCCATCAATTTTAATGCAAATACGTGGAACAGCTCATTCTTCGGCAATTTAAGTTCTTTGGTTATATCCCAATTGATCTGTGTGTCTCTGTTGTCTAAAATTAAATTGCTTTGTCAAGCTACAGTATGCAATGGTATTATTGATGCAAATTTGTCTCTATTTTCTTTGTAATCTTTGTTATGGAAGAATTCGTATTTTATGAAAGTTGCACTTACGATATAGTCCATGTTTAGCTTTTAAAACTGAATTTTGTTTTTATTATTGTTATTATTGGCCTGGACACTTTTTTCTTATTTTCAATGCAATACCTTACCACAATAATACAAGCCCACACCCTATTTTACATCCATTTTCACGTAACAGGGTATGATTTGCTAGCTTTTACTTACAGGGGAAAAAAATGTAAGATTTTCTTTGAATTGGGCATGGAGTATTGAAAATTGGCTAGTACAATTATTTCATGAACAGAGGATTCCCCAGGTTTAAGTCGACCCCCCCAACAACCCGCCCATTTTCATGTTGAGGAACTACGGTTGATTTTTTAAAACTCATTTTCAGCTGCTATATCTTTGGGGGTGTGGAGACTTAAATTTCAGTTTAGTACATATTACATGTATTTTTTGATTCCTGTCTGCCTTTGTACTAGGTGTACTGATATAAGTAACAGCACGTCCTCAAAAGTAAGTAAAGAATTCTCTAGGAGCTTGCTGTGTCTTTGATTGCTTGCTGTGATTATAGTCAGGGGCGGATCCAGGATCATTTTGCCATGAGTGAGGGATGGGGGTCATATGCCAATTGAAGATCTACATGTATGATCTGAGAAAGGAGGGATGGGGATGTTCCCTTCCCTATTATGTGGTCTGGGTATGTAGCCCCTTTGAGAGCGATTGGGATTTGCTGTCAGGGAGGAAGGGGTGGGAATCACCCCTTTCACCACTCCTGGATCCGCCACTGATAGTCTCCATGAGTTTAGTCAGTTACCCCTCATTACCCATATTTACTTTACGTAGCTGTATACATTATAAAGAGAGTATATGCTGTGGTTAAAATGTGTTATAATGCATGTATCCATATAATAGAGTTCTATTGAATTCCTCTGAGTATTTTATAGTCAGTCGTGACATCACTTTCAATTGTACGTAATTTCCCTATCCCCGCCTTGTCTGCGAAAAGCTCAATGAAAGCTGGGATTTTACATCGCGATGAATATTTCATTACTAGCCAAACTCTGAATGCAAACGTCAGGGCCTAACAAAATTTCGCTCAACGTCGCAAGTTATCACAAATAATGCCTAGATCACTGACCAAGGCAAGGCCTAGAAAGGTATGGTTGAGAGATAATAAGGCAATTGACTTATAAATGCCCTGAAAAGAGAAGGTAATGCTAAAATAATTTTTAATGTTTAAATTACATTTAATCTATTTGTCTACCAGGAGCTGATTCAGCTGCTGCCACGTTATCGAATACTCCCCCAGGGAGCTTGAGTTCGTGTTCCGTAAGCGTCTAAGACAATGACCGGGGTAATGAAAATGTGAAGCGCATAGGGGGCTTAACAATATGCGCAATATTATTATTATTATTATTATTATTATTATTATTATTATTATTATTATTAGGCCTACCTAAACTTCAACAGCAATCAATTTGTTCATCTTCATCGTATGACGAAGAGCTGCAAAGAGCATCAGTGCGAGTACTACTACTAGCAAACCATTATTATACATGCAGATAATGATACTGTATATATCTAACTTAATATACAATATAATAAAGCAGGGTACCTGACTCATTAATAAAGCAATTATAGTCAAGTTTTTTTGGTTTTTTTTAAGGAATAATGGCTCCTTCAGCCTCCATTTTCTATAGGATCCTGAGAACTTGACTAATTGCATATTATAAGATTCTACGTGCAATTCATTGAGAATTCTCTAAAGTTTTATAAAAAAAAAATACCATGTACTACACACTTCGGTTAGATTTCTTAAAATTATTATATACAACTCAAAAAATTCAACAGAAATTATGTACTGTAAGTGTGTATTTTAGAAGCAATAGATTCTGTAGAATTCTCATTATTTTGTATATTTTATTTGACGTACCGTAGCCACATCCTGAGATAACTCAGTTCATGTATTTTATTTTTATTCTGTTACTCCATTTTAAAAAATTCCTGATTAGATTGAAGAATTTCAAAAAATACTTGGAAGGAGAAGATGGTTGACGTCAATTAATCTGTTCAGGGAACAGTGAAATTTCACTGTTCCCTGATCTGTTCAATAAACAATTAATTAGTGAAAAATACCTTTTGCAATTCTGAAATAAATTACAGTATTTTTAAATTCTCGACCTTATTACATTCAGTGTTGCTCATGAGGACTGTTTATTGTATATTCCTCAGCATACTTAGTCATACTGGAATATTGCACTTTAAATATTGCAATTATGTTAAACGAGCACACTAATTACATTATGTTCCGTGTGAATACACTTATCAATACAGGAATATGCTGTGCTATATAATTTTACTCATGTGTCAATAGCATATTTATTACCTAAGTATTTTGTATAGTGTATTTATTATGTGAAGTGTTAACCTTATAATTATTGTATCAATCATCAGATCATGTTTTTTTCTCATCTATCCCTTTGGCGCCAATATTTAGTATGCTTTATATCATTCATGTAAAAACAATAAAACAACATTGCATTTAAACACCAATTTAATGGCAAAGATGTTAAATATTTACGATATTATTCATTCCAGCTGAATGCTTGTGACATCATGGGTGCCATGCCTTTGAACCATGCTGCAAGCACTGGTAGTGTTGAATGTGTCAAATTGTTGCTTGAGTCTGGATGTGATGTCAATCCCAAGATGACTACACGTTCACCATTACATGAGGCTGCCCTCAATGGTTGGTTTTAAATTTGTTTTCTTTGTCTTTTTTTTCTTCAATCAGTGGTTACAGATATACTTTTACTTAGTAGTTGCTATTAAATGAAGAAGCAGTGGTAGTTATCACAGGGCTCCCAAGTTTCCCGCAATTCAAAGGAATCTCCTGGAAATGGGAAGGCCTCCTACACTCCCCAGAGGAAACAAGAATCTCCCGGAAAGTAACCTACCTTCTGCAAAATTTATGATACTTCATGTTTTTATTTTACTTGTACAGTAATATAATTAGAGGTGTTAAAGCTCTTTTAAAGAGATTTCCCTGAAATGACTTTATAGTGTCTTTCTACTATCAGTTACATTTACCTGTATCTTCCTTCTTTCTTTGTTCCACTAGATTCCACTTCTTCATTTGATGGTAACTGTCAGTTACATAGATATGAACAACCATATTATTGTCTACATGGGAATTAAGACTTTAGGAAGCAGTGAACTTGTTAATATTTTATTACTGGTCAAAATGATCCACTCTGAGTAATAAATAATAATTATCCATTAATTGCAGGTAGTGAAGAATGCGTGAAGTTGCTCCTTGATGCCGGTGCGGAACTTGACCTGCAAGACCAACATTTTGGAACGCCTCTTCATTGTGCATGCGATTATTCAAACCTAGCGTGTGCGCGTTTACTTTTAGAAACAGGTATTAAAAGTGAATCAGTTTTATTTTTATTTTACATTTACAAAATATAAGCTCTACAAATGCTAAGTGCTCTACAAATGCATATTATTATTATATTTTTATTATTATTAAATTGTAGTGTAATAAGTTGTATTTGTGAAATGGAAAGTAGAAATATATTGCTGGAAATATACGTGGGTGTGACTCCCACAAGAGAGAGACAGAAAAAGAACTATATAATATAATATTTCAGTTGTCTCGGGTAAGTTATCTACCAATTGAAAATTAAAACAAGATTATAATAATATTATATTAATAATATTTGCTGTGCCAGGATTGTAAAATGATTAAAACTAACAATGTATTGACAAAGGCACTACTATACCTGAAATGTACAGGATACTACTTGTGGAAAAAAAATGTATAGTCTTTGTGAATGATTAAATAAACAAAAAAATTGTAACAATTAAGGATGTTTCCACAAACATAAATTCAGTACAAGTTTCAATAGTGAGTAAAGGTTTGTTCACACTATTAAATTTAATTTGGCAAAAAAACTATTGTATACCCATTGCGATGTGCCTATATATGGTCATGATGTGATGTCATCATGACCATATTTAGGCATGTCACATGTTTTTGTCAAATAAAATTTGATAGTCTGGACAGGGCTTTAATATAGCAGCTCAACAAGTGGTTTTATTAGGGATTTAATTTCTAACCTTTTATCCCTCAGAACTATTCATAATGAAAACATTTTTTTCAAGGTTGAAGTCTATCCATATGTAACTTATACATATTGCATACTAGTCCCAGTTATTTTCCATTAATATATGATCATCTATAGTCCTATTGTCATGTCATTTCCTGTATTACTTATGAGCATACATTTGTTTTTATTGGCATTATTCGACAGGTGATTTTATTTCACAAACCAAAGTAATTACACATCTTGGATTGAAGATAACACACTGAAATGTTTAATAGTAACGCTTTTGTGTCAGCAAACACGTTACAGATTCCATTTTCTTCAGACTATAACATATAATACAGGTATATGTAAATGAAGAATAATATTGGTGTCTGGAGAATCTTTATGGAATCACTATATTTTGTTCCTAAGTTTAGAATTTTTTTATGAGAGTAATTTCTAAATCATGTAAAGCTTGGTTTCCATACAATCGCTATCTTCAACAGCTTTCGGAGATGTTGATTGGTTGGTCGAATCATGGAGCCTTCCCGATTGCGTCAGGGACTGCTGCTACGCAGTATAACGATTGCACTGAAAACACTGTAGCGACAGTGTAGAGGTTTTTATGAAAACCAAGCTTAACAGAGTTTACCAACCATCTCAAAATCGTACAATAATAATATTACAGTCTGTTGTATGTTGTTCAGGAAACTTGAGCCATTTTGACTTATTACTGTAGTTTGGTCTTTATGATGCTTGCTTTCATTTCCGCGAGTCCAGGATTTAAATTTGTCAAGTAACAAACAAGCAATGAAAAAGTGTTTTTTGGGGTTTTTTTTTAGGGTCTAATGTGAATGCTGTGGTACCCCAAACATATCACACTCCTCTGCACTTAGCGGCAAAAAACAAACATGAGAAACTCATACGACTTCTAATGGACTACGGGGCAACTCCATTTGTTCAGGATCGCAAACATAAATATCCGTGGGACTTAATAGACGAAGACTGCGACGCAGCGACCACACTCTACCAATATCATAGTGAGTGCTGTTTTAATGTTGTATATAATATCTACAAAATAGTTTAAAATAAGTACTGATAACTAAATCTAATATTTTAAGTTAAGTTTTGTAGTGAATTTGTTTCTGTGAAATTCCAAATACAGTATGATATACATTAAATTCTATTCACTAGTTATCAAGTAATATTTTAAGTTAAGTTTGTACTGAATTTTTTTTTTTTTTGTATTTTTGTTTCTATGAAATTCCAAATATGATTTACAATCAATGGTATTCACTAGTTGATCAAGTCGTAAGGATATAATATTTATATATCTTATATGCATACACTCATCTAGGTTATTAGAATAATTTTCATGCTTAGTTCAACAAGTCAAAAATGGAATTTAAATCAATAATTTCATACTTTCTTTTTGAAATTTGCAAATTTTTTATCATCTACCTTACTGGTAATTTTAAATTTGATGGTCTTTGCACCTTTTTTTTAAAGAAGTTGTAAGTATTTACATTTTAATTATGTAATCCGTTGTATGTACAGGGATTCAGACACATTTGTGTTATGGCGCATTGTTGTTCATGCAACTTCTGAACCGTTTGATGTCAAATAAATAAATGAAATGGAAATGAAATATTTATAACCTCTCTTTCAGGTAATACAGTTACCTTAAAGCAAATTTGTCGGTTAGAAATACGGAAGCACATCAGCTGCAGTCGGTTGGATTCCGTTGACCATCTTGCAATACCGGATAGTCTCAGATGTTACCTGCAGTACAAATAAACTTTTATATGGACCATGCACAATACTTTCATGAAGCCATTAAACTGGTTTTAGTAATTTTAGTAATGCATTGAATTGCATTGAAATTACGGGTTTCCCATAAGTTTTAAAAACATGATAATTTTGAAAGTGTTTCGTAAATTTTTAAAAAGTTATATAAGTGTATATTTTCAACTTTTTGTCTATCAACATTACTACACTGATGTGGGTTTAAGCGGACTTCTAATCCCAGGATACTGGGTTCGAATCCTGTCCATTTCAGGATTTTTTTCATAATTAAAAAACAACTCAACTCTTCAACTCTTATAATTATTTTTGTTTTTATTATCATCATTATGGATATTATTATCATTATGGATATTATTATTATAAATACAATTTTTTTTTTGTTATTGCAAAATAATGATTCTGTCTTAAGCCGGGCACTAACTGCATTGTACAGCGGTCATCAGCCTGCCAGCCAACAAATCCAACTCCGCTCCCTGTGAGCGTCAGACACCACGACACTGTCTGCTGATTGTCGATGACAGTCTGAACGGATCGTCATAAAAACGATCTGTTGCGCACATGCCGAGGCGTTGCATTCTCAGTAGAATCGCGACGACCGTCGAGCGCAGTGGGTGCCCGTCTTAAATGTCAAGATTCTTGCCTTCTATTATCAGGGTACTGGGTTCAAATCCTATCAATGTCAGGATTTGTTTTCATGAATACAGCTCTGTACTCACTATCAAAATTGATGTGATATTATTTGGGTGTACTTTGACATTTGTCACATGTCACTCAAATTTGTCACGTAATTCAATAGTGTGGCCAAAGCTTAAAGCCCTATTCCCGGCAAAATTTCACTAAAAACTGACTTTTTTTTTAGAAAATATGCATTTGCATTACTCCAATTATTATAAATTATGGAAAAATATTGGCATGAATTTTAGTTTTAAGCAAAAGAATAAAAAAAATGAGGAATACAGACTATTTCTCATAAAATACTACCATTTTCTCAACGAATTCATCGTTACTAGGCAAATTCTGAGGTTGTAGATCGCATCCACTGGAATACTCTCGCTTTTATGTAAATTTATACAGTCAATAAAGTGCGCCCTCTCTAATGAGATTAGTTTTTGTTCTTCGCATCTTGCACAATGCGGTCGTTCGATTAAGGCTGAGATGTGTTTGTTTAAGTGTCAAAATCTCAGTCAGAATCAGTTTTTTAACAAATTTGAAATAATTCCTATGAAATATTATATTTCACAAGTGTCAATACTAGCAACGGAAATTATCATGTCGGCCATTTTTATGCGTGATAACAGAACCTAAATTGAGGTAAGGCTAGGCGTAGCCTAGCAGCGTTCGATAGGCTAATGTTTTCGACGCCTACGATATTTCTTCTCACGACCTATCGCAAAATCAAACATGAAAAATTCATCCGCATTTATTTTTTGTGTGGAACACAAAAAATTTCAGTCTTTTTTTTTTTTTTTTTCATTCTTAGGAATGTCTAAATTCAGTTAAACTAGCAATTCCGTATTATATTTATAAATCTTTATAACATTATACAAAAATTAGATTTTTCTTAACAACTGAAATTTTGCCGGGAATGGGGCTTTAAGTTTAGTATTAAATGCCATTTTATTTTGTCTGTACTTTTGCAGCAGTAGATACTTCTGCTGTTGTCTTGCACAATTCCAATAGGTGCAATGCAACTTGTTTTGCCTTGACAAAGTCTGTGGTTTTTTATTGAATAAAAATAAGTCATCGGCTGAAATTAATGATGTTGCAATCCTAATTTAGTGTTTATAGATCCCTGTCCAGACTATCAAATTTTATTTGACACAAACTGTGACATGCCTAAATATGGTCACATCATGACCATATATAGATAGGCACATTCTGACTATGGGCATACAACAGTATTTTGTCAAATAAAATTTGATAGTCTGTTTTGTTTCATCTACCGACAGAGGATGCTACATACTGTTTGTCTAAATATGGCGCACTGGTGGCGTCAGTGGTTTTGTGATGTCATATTCTCGTCTGGCATAATTTGTTGTAGCTTATGAATGAAAATTTAACAAAGTGTAATACTGTAAGCTTGCGTAATATGATCTATGTGTGTTCAAAGTTTTATTTCTGCCCTTTGGTTTTAGAGCCTTTATATTTTCATTTTTCTTTATGAATTCAAATTTCCAACATGCTAGTGATGGATGATGATTTTAGGAGGATTTGCTTCAAACGAATATTTTATGTTCGTAGTGGATCATAGTGCTGGCTATCATTTTAAGCAGTGTCGAAACAATACAAAAAATAAAAATAAGCCTACACAACTTAGTATACTAATTATTACTTTATATTTCTTGTTTGAGATACATTCTTGATAATAACAGAAAGTTTGTTATTATTTAATTCTAGATTGCCACAGGATGAATCTACTATTGAAGACACTTTGCAAATCTGATAAATTTCTTAAGCAAATGATTGTTCATTTTTGAAGAATTCCAAACGCAATTTAAACAACTAATACAAACTACAATACTGTAATAACATGCTATTTCACAGTGACTTTAACAATACTATGTTACATTATTAATAATATTCACATTCGTGTTGAAAATTTGTATATTAGCTGCCCTTTACAGTTAGATTTTTTGTATTCAAGACTCGGGTGTTACAAAGTTACATAGAATAAAATAGAAAAAAATAATGATGAAATTTAAGTTAAATAGAAAGGCTGTAATGAACTTTTCCGGAGTGCCTTCACAGCACAAATTTACGTACGTTTACCCTGCTATTTTTTGGGACCTGAATAACAATATACAAAGGGTGGAGCTTTGACGTACATCGGGTAAACCCCTAACTAATGTTTCAACAGATGCAGTATTCAAAGTACTGTACACACCTGCCAAGTATACTCTTGATCTCCGGTTTGAAGCCCTTACACGAGGAGACTTAGCTCTACCTTGGCAGATTACGAAGCACCGGTGATTAGATAAAACATAGAGGAATAAGTTTAGACTTTTTCCCGCATGGATGAAACGACGCCACCACTGCCTTACCACTGGGCCATTAATAACAGTTTACCGCCTTGGTTTTACCAAGTAGAATCTTTTCAAATTTGTATATACAGAATTAGAAATTAATATATCCTGTTTGTTATGTAGGCCTATACACTTTGAATAATAGGCTAAAGGTCGCTGCTCAGTTGTTATTGTCGGGTGCTTTTTGAACATTTACGACTATCAGAGAATTACTTACAAGATTTTATTATTTGTTTTCAAAGCACTTCATAATTCCTCGCCAATGTTTATTTCACAACTCATTCATCCTTACATTCCTAAGAGGTCTCTGAGATCTAGTTCAGAGTCTCTACTTGCTGTCTATTATTATTATTATTATTATTATTATTATTATTATTATCGACAACGTTATTTGTCATCTACATAAAAAAACAACTTCTTTGTGTTTTATACAGTATTATACAGGTGAACAGTCAAACACTTGTATAACACGTACCGATAGGCCTAGGTTCCATGGTTATTACTGGTTTTTGTCTTGAACAACATATTCGTTTAAATACAGCATTTCTAAAGTCTCTTAATTTCCATCCATACATCAGTGGTGTTATTGCTGAATGCACAAGCGTTAAGGAGATACAAACAGAGTAAATATTATTAGGCCTACGATCATCATTGCATTTGAAATTGATATAATGATCAATCAGATTCGCCATGTCAATTGGTAGCCAACTGATGACGAATACACAGACGACAATTGAAAAAGTTTTCAGCAGTCTTTTGGAAAGTTTGAGTTCTTGCGCAACTGCTTGTTTTTCGTTTCTGCAAACAGACTTGTAAATCACGTAATATGCCACTACCAACAGTATGATAATAGTTAGACTGAAGATAGTTCCAGTAAACTCAAATGTATAAAACATATCTGTGTTGATTAATACAAAAATTGCTGAGAATGAAAGTATCCAAATTGTGGCACAAGTTGCAAATAGTCTCCTCGGTGAATTAACATCTCGTTTGAATGGAAAGATGATGATCACGGCAAGTCTTTCAATTGCTATAGCCAATACAGTCTGGATAGATACAGTTGCAGAAGAGGCACCTAGAGCGAACACCGCTCGTCGGATCTGTGGTACAAATTCTCGATAATAGATTAATACTATTATACTAATGACATACAAAGCTTCAGAAACTACTAAAGAAGCAGGAAAGATGTGATGCCGTTTGTGTAAGTTTCTTTCCGATGCGAAAATATAGAAAGCACCCAAATTTAAAATAGCACTTACTGTACTGATGATGTTTAAAGTCATTACAGTGAATCTGTGCCCCTCGTTTGGGTCCAATATTTTATAGAAAATTTGAACCACAGACAGTTCGCAATAGTCTTCGGCTGATACGTTCACCATTGTTTTCTTATAATGTAGTTTTGTTTCTAGAATCTCGCCTGAAGTCGACACCACTGGATGACTGTCTGAATATTGGCCTAAATCAGTCTATTTTCCTGTCAACGTGATACTCTTGCCAATTTTCCAACATCTTGCCATTAAGAAATCAACTGAACATAATTCTCATGTTTATTATAAGAAAGGCATCAGTATTGTCTACAATAATCTTACAGTAACTATTGTGCTTTTTACTCGTACTCGGAACAGAGAGTTCTTTAAAAGCTAAGTAATTATTATTTCAGTGACTGACATTTATATTGGTAATATTTTAATCCTCGTCCAATGCTATGAACATAAATCTATAAGCTATGCGATTATAGTACTACAATCTCTGTTATGTCACGAGATATAAACGTGAGATTTAAGGAAGTTTAACTGAGGGTCATGGATTATAACATCATGCAACTACCAAGTTACTGCTCCATTCTTCATTGAATTTACACCAACTCATTTAGCTTCAATTTCTTCAATCGCATTCTCTTTCTGCGGGTATTAACGTCATGAGTAAAGTGAATTCAACACTGTCAGTCACGTAAAAAAACGTTGATGATGGTCGGAACGTAGAATTCAAACACAACTTTTTTTTTTATTAATATAGAGCCCTAAAATCAGTGTTGCAGTCCTCAGTTTATGGTTTACTCATTTAGTGTTTACAAAGCCCTGTCCAGACTATCAAATTTATTTGACAAAAACACGTGACATCATGACTATATACGGGCATACAACATTTTTTGTCAAATAAAATTAATAGTCTGGTCAGAGCGTTATGCTATATTGATGTAATGCTTATGTGGCTGCAAATTTGATTGAGATAGACATTGGAAGGTTTGACATCGAGTGTG